CATTCCAATCCAGCTCTGCTATGACCTGGGAAAGCACTAAAAGAGGATCCAAGTGTTAGGGCCCTGTGCCCGTGTGAGAGACCTGGAAGAAGCTCCTGGCTCCCGGCTTCGGATCGGCCCAGCTCCAGCCATTGCAGCTATCTGGGGAGTGAATCAGCAGATGGAAGACCTTTCTCTCTCTCTTTCCTTCTCTCTGTCTGTAACTCTACCTCTCACATAAATAAATAAATCTTTTTAAAAATAAATAATAATAAACGAAACAAACTAAGTACATGTCCTTACCTTTAAAAGTAAAGTAAAATTCCTTTTCAATCTTCTGATCAAGGGAAGGAGAAAAAAAACCTCAGCTTGGTGGCAGTATGTCTGTAACACCTCTGTAAGCCTGCCTAAGCTTCCATGTGATAGAAGAGACTGAACAAAGGGCTGGCAGTTTCTTACCTACATTTTAATCCTAGAATTTTGTTTCAATTGCAATAACGTATTTATTTTTATGATTTCCCACCTTTTATTGGCATATGAAGCTGGTTCTCCATTTTTAATAGTAAATAAGGCTTCCTTTTAAAATGCATTTGTTTAGAGGCAGAAATGAGTTGATTTAAAGTAAAATATTAAGTGTAATATGGAGGATATTCAATTATGGCAAAATGGCAATGGTGATACCTGGTGTTGGAAACATGACCCTAAAGAAATAAAAAGAGCTATTAGATATAGATTTATATCCAGGTATATATTTATAAATGGACATATTTCTCCCAGTGTGATTTCTGTTTTCAGACACTACTTAGACACTACTCGGTTACCTATAGTTAGGGGTTGATTGGATAGTTTTGATGCCTTCATATAATGGGATACTTCTAAATATACATTTACTTTCATGGGAAAATGATATACTGTTAGTTAAAATGCAACTGTCTATAAAAGAAAAGTCCACATTTTGTTAAAGTGTGTGTGTGTGTGTGTGTACATAGGAGAAGAAAGACTGGAAGAAGATATTTACCAGTGGGTTATGTCTGGATGGTTAGCGCTACAAGAGGTTTTGTGTTTTCCAATAATAGGAATATATCACCCAGAAAACCCAAACATGTACATACATATATTTTATAAAAAAAAGATTTATTTTATTTTATTTATTTGAAAGGCAGAGTTACAGAGAGAGGTAGAGACAGAGAGAGAGGTCTTCCATCCGATGGTTCACTCCCCTGTGGCCACAATGGCTAGAACTGCGCCAATCTGAAGCCAGGAGCCAGGAGCTTCTTCTGGGTCTCCCACGTGGGTTCAGGGGCCCAAGGACTTGGGCTGTCTTCTACTGCTCCCAGGCCATAGCAGAGAGCTGGATCAGAAGAGGAGCAGCCGGGACTAGAACTGGCGCCAATATGGGATACCGGCGCTTCAGGCCAGGGCTGTAACCCACTGCGCCACAACACCAACCCCAATACATCTATTTTTAAATTAACTTGTTCCTATCCTAACAGGGCTGCCTGATATTTTGCTCTCCACAGGCATTCTTAAGTCCTTTTATGCTCTTAGAATTCAGTTATAGGGCTGACATTGTGGCATAGTGGGGTAAGCTGCTGCCTGTGATGCCAGCATCCCATGTGGGTGCTGGTTCATGTCCTGACTGCTCCACTTTTGATCCAGCTGCATGCTAATGCTCTTGAGAAAGCAGTGGATGATAACCCAAGTCCTTGGGCCCCTGCTACCCATGTTGGAGACCCTGGGTAGAGTTCTAGGCTCCTGGCTTCCGTCTGGTCCAGTCCTGGCCATTTCAGCCATTTGGGAGTAAACCAGGAGATGGAAGATCTCTCTGTCTCTCAAGGTCACACTGTCTCTCTCTAACTTGGTATTTCAAATAATTAAATAAATAAATGTTTTGAAAAACAGAATCCAGTTTGGGGCCAGCACTGTGGCTCACTTGGTTTATCCTCCACCTGCAGTGCTAGCATCCTATATGGGTGCCGGTTCTAGTCCTGGTTGCTCCTCTTCCAGTCCAGCTCTCTGCTGTGGCCCGGGAGGGCAGTGGAGGATGGCCCAAGTGCTTGGGCCCTGCACCTGCATGGGAGACCAGGAGGAAGCACCTGGCTCCTGGCTTCGGATCAGCGCACTGCCGGCCGTAGCGGCTATTTGGGGGGGGTGAACCAACTGAAGGAAGACCTTTCTCTCTGTCTCTTTCTATCACCGTCTAACTCTATCTGTCAAAAAAAAAAAAAAAAAAATCCAGTTAGGTCCTTGTGGCCTAGTGCAAAGCTATGGGGACAGCATCCCCAATACTTAAGAGTATTCCACAGCAGTTGGTATTGGTGGGTGTCTTTATAGAATAAGGAGAATATTTCTAAAATTTCCTTAAATCACTTTTATTGCTTTTTCTTATCAACAGTCCCAATAGCAGGACCAACTTAGAAGTCTACTTTTTTTCAGTTATTTATTTATTTATTTATTTGAAAGGCAGAGTTACAGAGAGGCAGAGGCAGAGAGAAAGAGAGAGAGAGAGGTCTTCCATCCATGGGTTCACTCCCCAAATGGTTGCTACAGCCGGAGCTGAGCCAATCTGAAGCCAGGAGCTTCTTCCGGATCTCCCACATGGGTGCAGGGGCCCAAGACTTGGGCCATCTTCTACTGCTTTCTCAGGCCATAGCAGAGAGCTGGATCAGAAGTGGAGCAGCCAGGACTTGAACTGGTGCCCTTATGGGATGTTGGCACTGCAGGTGGCAGCTTTATCTGCTACACCACAGCGCTGGCCCCAGAAGTCCACTTTCTAAGTAGATCTGGCTCATTAAATAAGAGAGGAATAAATGTGGAGAGAAAGTCTCCTAGTAACTTGTTTATTCTTTCTTTACTTTGTGCATTGTTTTTCTGACTGTGAAATTTCTAAATGTTGGATATAATCATGATACTGCATCACCTGGGTTTGGAGATATGTGCGTTTAAATTTGGATACCTCCTTCCAGAATTACAAGATCCGTGTTTGGGGTGGAGGGGGGTGATATTAAAGAGTTTACTGCAAGGCTGAATCTTGGCAGAAATACTTGCTACCTTTTGCCTAGTAAGAGTTCCCTGGGTGTTGCTTCTTAGAGCTTCTTCCTGGAGACTCCTGCACTCTTTGGTGGGAACGAGGCTGGCAGGGCCGTGCGGAGTCAATGGTGTGTGTTTCTGGGAGTGGTCTACAGCCTGTTGTGAGCTTCCTGCTCTTGTAATGGGTGCTGGGGGAGCAGTTCAAGTCCTGAGCCTGAAGGAGGCCCTCTGTGGAATTCCTGTGATACCTTTGACCAATTCTTCCCTTCCTGGGGTCCTTCAATTCCACCACCCGCCTCCCTCTCCGTGGTTGTGCTGCAAGTTCACACATCTCTTGCCTGGTCCCCGCCTGCTCCTCCTCTGACTTCCTGTCTGTGTTTTCACCAAATTCAGTGTGCTCTAACCTCCTACCACTGCTATGAGAAGTGACTGCGGGTTAGTGTTTTACAACCGTGCAGACTTAGTGTTTTACGGCTGTCGAGGTCAGAAGTCCCACTATCAAGGGTTTTGCACTTCTGCATTCCTTCTGGGGCCCTAGGTGAAAATCATTTTGTTGGCCTGTTCCATCTTCTAAACACCACCTGCATTCCTTAGCTCCTGGCCCCTTCCTCGACCTTCAGGGTTGGCAGATCTTTTTCATGTCACGTCACTCTGATGCTGCTGGGGTCCAGAGTCCCCCAGCTCCTTATAAGAACACCTGTGATGACATTGTCCCCCCGGATAACCTCCTCATCTCCAGACCTGTAATCTAATCATGCCTGCAGTGTCCCTCTTGCCCTACAAGGGACACAGCCTCCAGGGATCCAGATTTTGACATTTTTGGTGGGGCTGTAAGTTAGCCTGGCGCAAAGCTTAATCTTATAAAAACACACACCCAACCACATTGGTTCTCTGCTACCGCCCGTGTGTTGCTGCAGCCTGCAGAGGATGAGGCCCACACTTGCTTTGTGGCTGGGGGGGCCAGGCGAGGGCTGCCCACATCCCTTCGCCAGCTGCAGGCCACCTGCTGTCCGCTTGCTGCCCATCAGGCAGCTTGCGTGCACGATGGCTTTTTATGAGGGGCGTGGCTTCTCCACCCACTCCATCCCGGGCCTCAGCCAAGGTCAGCTCCCCTGGAATGCTCTCAGGAAAACTGTGCTGGTCTGCTGTCACACTTAAACACAGTTCCACATCCTTCTATCTTTGAGGTGGTTATTTGATTAACATGAAATGTTCTCTTCTTATACTTCTGTGAGTTAGCATCCGTATTGACAGACACCAGGTCTCTTTCCTGCCCACAGCTGTGTCCCTGGCTTGCTGTACTTGGTATGCAGTTGGAAACAAGAAATGGCAGGGTTAGTAAGTACCAAGAGAACCAAGTGAATAAGTGAGTGACTGTTATCCTACTTTATGGCCCTGCTCCTGCGATTTCTCCTGCACTGCACTGATCACCTTTTCCACTGGAATGTAAGCTCTCCGAGGGTGAGGACTTTGTCTTGGGTTTGCAGTGTTGTGGGCAGCATCTGGCCCACACAGGCACTGGGGAAATATTTGAGAGTGAATGATCTGCGGGATCTCAGAATCTCAGAGTTTTCATGTTTGGTTCCTCTGAAATCCAGTGTTATCGATTCTTCGTTTTTTTGATTCATCTTCATGCAACAATCAGATGATTTGGCGGAGACCTTACAAAGCAGTCACCTGCTGTGGTGAGGATTAAATAATTAATAACAGCAAGTCACCTAGAACGATATCTGTTGGCAACAGCCCCGTGGGAGAGTTTGCTGTTGCCAGGAAACATTTGAATCCTTGATTGTTTAGAGTTTTTGGTGACCGTGCGGCCTGTGGCGGGACCTCAGACACAGGCTATTGGTGACTGCAGGCATTGGCCCTGGGTGAGTGCTACTGGCTCCTAAACCAGGAGGGGCGCCAGGTCTTCCAGCTGCCTGTGGGCCATGCTGGGCTTAGTGGGTTATTTGAGCCACTGCTTATGATTTTTCTTGTTTTGCCTGTAGATGGCAGCACGCCCTGGACCTCCTTGCAAGGGAGGCCGCGCTGAGGCCGGACAGCAGAGAAATGAGAAAATGGACTCCCTTCTCCTGGAGATGTGAATGCCAGCCACCAGCTGTGGGTGAGTGTGCAGCTCAGCAGGGATTTTTCTCTTCATTTGTTGTTTAGTATGGGAATTATTATAAAGCACATGTATTCAATTCTGAGTAATTTGTTGATTTTTACAAAACCAAACAATGATAGCAGTAAAACCAGAATCATCCCTAGAATGCTGCAGAGAGAATGTGGGCAAGGGGCATTGCTGCACGGTGTGGTGTCTCTTCTCCTCCACGCCTTGGGCCCCCTTTACCATCCAGGCAGGGGGTGGGGTACACATCCCAAATGTTGAGCATGTGTGCGGCGAGGCATTCTCTGCAGGGACCCTGGGTTCATCCAGTTATTCCCACAGATCTCCCTTGGCGTCTGCAGAGGGTCTCAGCAATGACCTTCCCTGAGTTTCTGACCTGCCGGGCTTGGCTTCACCCTTCCCTTAACTGCAGCTCCTGTAAGGCCCGCCCAGCAAGGATTCTGTGACATCTCTGCATCGCGTCCTGAGGCGTCCTTTGCAGGGAAGTTGATGACCCCTTGTCCTTTTCACTCGGGCCTGTGCTGGCTTGGCCCTGTGATGTTTGTGTTTTGGGCTCACTGTGTGGAATCACGGAGCTGCATGTTGGGTCCTGATCTCACCAAACTCCAGGGCTCTGTGGAAGTTTACTGTGGTTGGAAGAGGGTAGATTATATAAGTCAAGCTTGCCTTTAGGTGCTTTTTTTTCCCCTAAAATTACTAATCTTTAAAATATTTCAAATGTGTGTATTTCATTTAAAATCTAATTCCCTTCTTTTACACCTCTTGAATTGTTTTTCAGTTATAGAGATATTGAAGCAGACAGAGAGAGAGAGAGAGAGAGAAAGAGAGAGAGAGAGGTCTTCCATTCTCTGGTTCACTTCCTAGGTGGCCGCAGTGGCCAGAGCTGCGCCAATCTGAAGCCAGGAGCCAGGAGCTTCTTCTAGGTCTCCCACACAGGTGCAAGGGCCCAAGGACTTAGGCCATGTTCCACTGCTTTCTCAGGCCATAACAGAGAGCTGGATTGGAAGTGGAGCAGCCAAGACTCAAACCAGCGCCCATATGGGATGCCGGCACTGCAGGTGGTGGCTTTACCTACTACGCCACAGTGTCAGCCCCACAGATTATCTTAACCAGCAGATGACACACCCCCTGCCAAATTCTGTCTTTTAAATACTTTCGTTTTAAAACAAACACAAAAAACCCACGTAAGCATGAAATAAAAGTGCTGGTCTGGAGGTGTCCCTTGAGAGAATGTGGGATTAGGTTAGGTGTGGAGAGTTGTGCAAGGGGTTTATCCTGGGTGTTTAGCATGTGGGAGGCATAGAGCAGAGATGGGCCACAAAGAGGAAGGAGGCAGGTGGAGAAGCTGGGGGCAGCAGGATGCCATCTGCTGTTGGTTCGTCCTCCCCGAGGGCTGCCCACACCACTGCCAGGCCTGGGCTGTGATGCTGGGTGGCGCTACTGGCCAGCCGGCTGATGTGATTCATAGCTGTGTACTTCCGTGTCCAGTTTCACCCTCTTCTTGCCTCACAAAGTTGGGCTGCTGGCTTTTAGTAAAACAGGTGCTTTGAGGAGTGCGTTGAAGGACCATCAGCCCCCAAGGGACTTTGATAGAAGACACAGTTCAAAAACATTTCCGGGCTTTTTTTTTTTGAAACCAGTTAACAGTTTTCAGTTCAACTGTGTTTTCCTTCCTGAAATATTTAAGTGAGACTAAATCTTATGCTTTTTTTTTTTTTTTTTCCTCTGCTCACTGTTTTCAGGGAGTTCCACTGCTTGTCAAGTCTGGGTGGAGATAGAGCTGACTTTGTGTTCTCCACACAGACCAATCCTACAGAAATGGGAGAGACTTCAGTGTGTCTCCGGGGTAATTTCTGTGCCTTTCGTTTCCTGTGTTTGGGAAATACATAGAATATTTAGGGGCATTTTACAAATCCTTTTTCTTACCGAAGTATTTATTTGAAAGGCAGAGCTACACACAGAGAGACAGACAGAGAAACAGAGAGGTCTTCCAATCACTGGTTCACTCCTCAAATGGCCATAACAGCCAGATCTCAGTCAGACTGAAACCAGGAGCCAGGAACTCCATCCTGGTCTTCCACATGGGTGGCAGACCATCTTCTGGGCCATCTTGTGCTGGTTTCCCAGGCACATTAGCAAGAAGCTGTCTTCCAAGTGGATTAACAAGAAGCTGGATCCGAAGTGGAGCAGTCAGGACTTAACCAATGCTCCAGCATGGGATGCTAGTGTGCAAGAAGTGGCCTAACCTGCTGTACCACAATATTGATCCCATATTTTAACCAAATTCTAACTTTTAACTTCAAACGAGCTAGCAGGAATGTAAATCATTTCTTAAATTTTGCTTATTTATTTGAAAAGCAGAGACAGAGAAAGAAAGATCCCATCTGCTCACTCATTCCTCAAGTGCCTGGAGTTTGGCCAGGCCAAAGCCAGGAGCCCAAATTCAGCCTGAGTCTTCCACGTGGGTGGCAGGGACCCAATTACCCGAGCCATCATGTGCTGCTTCCTAGAGTGTGCTTTACTTATCAGGGAGCTAGCACTGGGAGCAGAGGACTCCAGCGTAGGCACTCGGATATGAGATGTGCATGTCCCAAGCCATGTCTTAATCTGTACCAAATGCCTTCCCCCATGGGTGTTTTTTTTTTTGTGCCTGAGAGGGGAAGAAGAGGGAGACAGTTTCCCTGAGGATTCTCTGTTCTGGCTGGCGAGTCAGAACTGTCCCTGCCTGTTCCTACACGAGTGCCCAGGAGAGTCTCAGTCAGGCAAGACTGCCCCCGGGGCTCTTGTACGTCAGATGGGAGCAAAAAAAAAAAAAAAAAAAAAAGCAGAAGGTGGTTCCAGGCACACAGTATGAGAAGGAACAGGAGTGGTTTGCAAGGTGTCTGGAGGGACTGTGCTGGGCAGGTGGGTTGGCCGGGTACTGGGGTTGGTGGGAGCTTAACTTTCAAGCCAAGAAGTTTGAATTTGATACCACAAAGAATTGGAATCAGGGGGCCAGTGTTGTGGCATAGCAGGTGAGGCTGCTGCCTGTGACACTGGCATTGTGTGTGAGCGCCACTTCCCATCCATCTCCCTGCTAATGCACCTGGAAAGCAGCAAAAATGATCCAAGTGCTTAGGCCCCTGCTACCCATGTCAGAGACCCAGATGAAGCTCCTGGCTTCGGCCTGGCCAAGTCCTGGCTGTTGTGGCCATTTGGGGGACTGAATTCATGGATGGAAGCTCTCTCTCTCGCTCTCTCTCGCACTCTCTCTCTCGCACTCTCTCTCTCGCTCTCTCTCCCACTTTCAAGTAAATAAATCATTTTTTTTTTAAGTAGACTTTTGAACACTGGAACGGTTTGCTGTTTTTTTTTATTTTTTATTTTTTATTTTTTGACAGGCAGAGTGGACGGTGAGAGAGAGAGACAGAGAAAAAGGTCTTCCTTTGCCATTGGTTCACCCTCCAATGGCCACCGTGGCCGGCGCGCTGAGGCCGGCATACCGCGCTGATCCCATGGCAGGAGCCAGGTACTTCTGGTCTCCCATGGGGTGCAGGGCCCAAGCACTTGGGCCATCCTCCACTGCACTCTCTGGCCACAGCAGAGAGCTGGCCTGGAAGAGGGACAACCGGGACTAGAACCCGGTGTGCCGGCGCCGCAAGGCGGAGGATTAGCCTAGTGAGCCGCAGCACCGGCCAGTTTGCTGTTTAAAGCAGGAGTTTCTAGAGCAGGTGGTGTGGCACAGTGGTTAAGCCCTACCTAGGACACCCTCCCTCCCACAGCAGGGTGCCGGCTCAGTCCTCACATTTCCATTTCGTTTTTTGTTTTGTTTTGTTTTAAAGACTTATTTTATTTGGAAGGCAGAGTTACAGAAAGGCTGAGGCAGAGAGAGAGAGAGAAGTCTTCATCCACTGGTTTACTCCACAGTTGTCTGCAACGGCTGGAGCTACGCCGATCCGAAGCCAAGAGCCAGGAGCTTCTTCCAGGTCTCCCACAGAGGTGCAGGGGCTCAGGGACTTGGGCCATCTTCCACTGCTTTCCCAGGCCATAGCAGAGAACTGGATCAGAAGTTGAGCTGCCGGGACTCAAACTGATTCCCATATGGGATGCTGGCACTGCAGGCGGTGACTTTACCCACTATGCCACAGTGCCAGCCCCCTCACACTTCCATTTCTGATCTAGCTCCCTGCTGATATACCTGGGAAGGCAGCAAATGATGGCCCAAGTACTTGGGTCTCTACCACTCTTGTGTAAGACCCAGACAGAGTTACAGGCTCCTTGTTGAGCCCTGGCTGTTGTGGCCATTTGGGGAGTGACCCAGCAAGTAAAAGATCTTTGTCTCCCCATTGCTGTCACTCTGACTTTCAAATAAATAAATAAACCAATCAAAGAAGGAACTTTTGTTTCCACTTTACTGCTGGGGAAAGCTGTATTAAAAAAAAATAGTTTTATCTATTTGAGAGGCAGAGTTACAGACAGACAGAGAGAGGTAAAGGCAGAGAGAGAATTTTCAATCTGATGGTTCACTCCCTAAAATGCTGCAGTGGGCCAGTCTGAAGCCAGGAGCCAAGAGCTTCTTCCAGGTCTGGTCTACCACGTGGGTGCAAGGACCCAAGCACTAGGGCCATCTTTCACTGCTTTCCCAGGCCATCAACAGAAAGCTGGATTGAAGGTAGAGCAACCAGAACACAAACCAGCACCCATAACGATGCAGCACTGCAGATGGAGGCATAACCTACTACACCACAGCACCAGCCCCAAAGCTTTATATTTCGAATAGTGTCTTCTCCAACAGTTCTCTCTGCATACGCAGCTGGTAGGGGTTGTACCTGTCAGAATCCAGCATCCGTGTGTACTCCAACCCTGCCCTGGCCTGCATTATCTGTGGGTACAAATTGACCTGCAGGGGACCAGGGGCCTTCCCAGCCCTGACCTTGTATGACCTTGAGAGTCTGTACATGGCTGCCCCTGCTCAGCAGCCACACTTCCTGGGCTGAACCGAGTGTGGGGGGAAG